GTCACCGAGGACCGGCCCCAGGGAACGAGCCAAGGCCGGCAGTGCACCCGGTTGCCCCCTCCTCCCGGCGGGCCTGGCCACGAGGCCGCTTTGATGTGAGGTTGCCTGAGAGGAGTTGGGGGCCTTGTTCCGAGGGGTGCGGGTTTTTTCACCCGGAGCCAGCATGATCGTCACAAATTCATAAGAAAGCAAGACTGAGCGGGAGGACGGGGAGGAAAAGTCACAAAGAAATGTTTGCCATCATGCAAAATGGCGGCATTAAAACCTCTCTCTGATGGTGGTGGTTGGCCCAGGCCAGAGAGCTGAGGGCTGCCCCAGGTCAGCGCGGCCCCAAGAGCTCTGCAGTCGAGAGAGAAAGTGACCCGAAACCCACAAGGTATCCGGGCCTGCTCATCTCCCGCAACATTTCTTTCGCTCGGCGTCCCCAGCCTTTCCTCCGAGCTCGCCAGGCCCAAAAGCACCGCCAGAAGCCCTGGACACTGACCCCTGTTTACAAACACAGCCTGGGGGCGGGGTGGGGCTGACCGGAGCGCTGGAAGGCGGGGTGTGTGTGGGGGGGTGCTGCTCGCTGCGGAGAACGCCACCAGCAGAGAGGAACAAGGAGTTGGTGCGAGAGAGCTGGCCCGGCAGCTGGAAAGGACTGAACGCCTTGTTTTTGAAACTGTCAATTCCCTCAACCCCTATTGTGAGGGCTTCATGCAAAACATCTCAGGCCTTTTAAAGTAGGAGCTTGTGAGGCCGCCACAGTTTGAAAAGGAGTGAGAGGAGAGTGGGGGCCTAGGGCATGGGCAAAGAATGATAGTTGGGTCTCCTTCCTTTTTAAAAAAAAAAAAAAAAGCAAAAGAGGGCCTGCCAAACAGGTAAAATACATCCCCCTTCCACCTCCTAGATCTGCCCTATTTCCCCACCCCCTAGGTTAGTTTGCAAAATGTCCTTTGTCCCAGGGAGCAAACTAAAACCTAAGGTAGCTTCAAAAATAGTTCTTTACAGGAAAAAATCCTGAGGAAAACTTGGGTGATTGGGTGGACTCCCTAAACTGAACTCCCAGTTCCTCCTTGCCAATTTCCTGAAGTTAGTTGATAAGGAATCTTTTTCTCCCTTCTTGTTTGGAAGTAATGCCTTCTTGGCTTTGGGAACTCCATCTTTTCACATCATTTTCAGCCGGAAGTTATTTTCAAGGTGAAGCAAAACTCACCACTTTTCTGTCTTTTATAAGATGCTATTTTTTAAATATATATTTTGTCATGGAGGATTTTTGTTTTTGTTTTCTTTGAGGAAAAAAATGCTTTTGAAGAATTAGTTTCTACAGCTCTTCCTACATGCAAACAAAACTATCATTTCCATCTGTAGAAACTTCCCAATTCTTGTTGACTAGAAAGAACTCTGAGGGATTTCTAGACCATTGAAAGTCACCCACACAAGGATAAGATAAAAATCAACACAACAGGCCATCTAGTTCATGTTATTGCTGTTTAGTGGTGGCTCCTTGTTGATTTAAAAATAAACAACCATTATTGAGATTACTCCACTGTAATCAAGCAAGTCAGTAGAAAAGAGCACCCACTTTAAAAAGTAAAAAGAACAAGCTGCATTTTCTATAAACGTAGGTAACCTGAGTGTGGAAGACAGTACAAACACATTTCACATTCTTAGGAAATTTCTTTTACAAAGACCAAAAATGTATTTGTTTCCCAAAAAGTCAGAGAAAGAGCCCTTTCCTACATTTCATTCTTGTCTGTGAATGTTGAAGTTTAGACACAGAATCAGTGACCCTAGAGCTGTAATAGTACAAGTTTTTAAAAAAAATTCTATTCCCTGAAAAAACTTAAGGTATATAAATGGAGTCTAGCAAACGAGGTAACTTTTGCTTTTCTCTTCAATAAGGCTTAACTTTTCGAACAAATGAGACTTGTATAGCAGCTTAGAAAAGCTACATATTGTCATTAATCATAAAACAAGGAAAATAAAAATAAACTGTACTGAGAATAATTCCAGCACAGCAGAATGGGAAAGGAAAACAGCTAAGGTGCCATCAGGAATTGAAAAAAAAACCCCTTGTATTTGCAAGTTACTGCATACTATTTGATACACTTTCCTAACAGAAGCCCCAACTCAGGTTTTGCTGTGGTTGGCTGGCTTGTAGCAATACTGTGGGGTGAAATTTGTGTTGACTATTTAATTTTGTTCCTTTTGATGGTATCACTCTGGAATGCCTCAGCCTCCATGCTGCTCATTCTCCAGCAGCTAAACTGAAACTATTGATTCTCTAAGGGCTGGAGACCAAGTGTCAAAGCTGGAGGCCCATATTTTATGTCAAAAATTCCATAGGGTATATTTGTTTTACATTATGCTTATTCCATCTCTCGGTCCTCCCACACCCATGATTTGCAAACTTCAAAAATATTCTCAATTTATAATTTAGGAACAGTAATTCCATAGCCAACAAGAAAAGTACTAGTCTAAATGTAGGAGCCCTGGGGTGGCGCTGTGGGTTAATGCGCCAGACTGCAAAGCTGTTTGAACTGCAAGGTTGGCGGTTCAAGCTCACCAACTGCTTCTCGGAAACCCTATACAAGGTCGCTTCCCTATACAGGGTTGCTATGGGTCGGAATCGACTCAATGTCACTTAACAAAAACAAATGTAGTAGTAACCATACTTTGAGCTTTCTTGACTTGGCAGTCATTAAGGAGTGAGTAGGAATTACATACACACTTCTAGTGTGTGTATGTCACACTGTGTTGTGTTTTTTTTTAAACAAATTTATATTTCAGGACAACTCACTGTACCTACATTTTACATTATTTTCCAAATAAGAAAGAATTAAGATTGAGAAGTCAATTGTTTAGTTTTCTGGGGCTTTAACAGTAACATATATAACATGCTTATTCAAGGATTACATCCCCAAATTTTGCTTTGACCATATCTACCAATCCAAAAAAATAGGATCCAGTGAACCTCCATCTGGCAACATTCAAGAAGAAAAAGGAAGGGAGGTAGTTTGAAGCATCTGTTTACTCCATCCAAATGTATTTGGATGCAGGTATTCTCCTTTACAGTAAGAGGAAAACCACAGAGCATATACAACAATTAGGGCTGAGACCATCCAGATCAATCTGAAACATTTATAGACAAAAGGAAGTTTCAAAGGAAGTAGGAATTAAAAGGTTAAGGGAAAAAATAATTAAAAAAACCCAGTATTTCTCTGAGAAACAGTGACTCAAATTCACACAGTAAACATTTCATTGGTGTTTTGTTTTGTGATTTATGATCTATAGATGCAACTTCTTAGGTTTAAGATGGCAAGGATCTGAGATACATACTTTGTCAAACTAATGGGAGAGGGTGTGGAACAATCATTTTAGAATCAAGTTTCATTTAAATAACAACTGATCTCTGCTTCAGTTTCTTAAACCTGAAACTTTTTGCATTTGATTTGTAACAAGTTGGTAAAGTTTTGTTGTTGTTTAGGAAGAAATCCACCAGTATTTTTGCACAAAGCCTGACTGGCCTGATCATATAGTATTACAACAAAACACTACATCCCATAAATGCATTTCTTTCCAAGAATAACATTACAAATGAAAGTGTCAACAAAACCATTCATTTCTGTTACCTTTTCTTCAATCTAAAATAAGTAGAAATGTATGGAACCAGAAATTTTAAACAGTGTTTTTAATTGAAAATAAAGCTAAAGCATGCTTTTCAACAGTGCACATTTCCATAATTTTGATTTACTGCTTCCATCATTACAACATAGTATACCAGCATGGCCCCTTACCAAGGGCTAGACCCTAGCCATCTGCATGTTAAACTAGTTTGATTTTAAGTGCAAATATAGATAGTCACCTCTGATTGTCATTTGCAGTAGAAACTCTCCTGCTCTATACACAGGATGGTCTGAAAACAGGAGTGTAGAGAGATGCAGAAAAAGTAAAAGGTAATAAAACTCAAATGCCTGAGTTCTGGTACCAAAAAGCCCTGAAATATGGTTATTTTTCATTTGGGAGGTCCTTACTACTCTGACTCCTCATTTTCTTTTTCCCGGGTGTATTTACTGTTGCCACTGTGAAGAGTTAGACCATCAAGAAACATTTTAATTGTTTTGAAAGATTGAGGAGTCATGTTCAAATCAAAAGGTAAGTAGGTGAATAATAAGACTTGTGTTATTTAAAGCCTTTGGGTGAGAACACAAAAAGGACTTTTCCCAATTGCAAAGAGTGGCTGTAAAATTACTTTACCCCCCCAAAAAAAAAAAAAAAAGAATTAAAAAAAAGCAATTCCATATTTATTTTACTCTCTCTATATATATGAGCTACTATATATGTATATAGTAGCTTTTACCAGCATTCAAGCAAGACTCATACCCCAATCTTTCTACTCCAAAAAAAAAAAAAGTTAAGTGCAACTACTCTTGGAGAGATGATAAGGGGACTCAAAAGAAAAAGAGATAGCCCACAAACAAGAGCTCCAAAAGAGAAGATTTGGGGCTCACAGAAACTTCTTGCTACCTCATGTGTAACCATGAAACTTAGCAAACTTTCACTGACTTAACAGTTATACTTTCAGGTCTGAAATCTAGTGCATAAACTAATGGCTCATTGTAATATTTATTATTCAACCTTTTTGACATTTATTTGTAGCAGTTGAATTGAGGTCCAAACCAAACCCGTTGTCGATTCCGACTCATGCGTTATTAGCACTGAAACAGTAAAGTGTTCCAGCTCTACCGTCTACCGTAATAACTGAGTTTTACTTGAGTCTTTAGCCTGAAGTAGTCTGTGGAATGTAAACCAACCCTTCTCCCACCCCGCCCCCACTCTACTTAAAAAAAAAAAAAAAAAAAAAGGAAAAAAAATTAATCCGATTTCTGTCTTCCAAATGTGATAAACCAGGACTCCAAGGGGGGTGTAACACATTAATGGACTTGTACAAACCATCCTGTGCAGTTTACAACAAAAGGAAGGTAATATGGTTCAAGAAAATATCTTCCAAAACATTTTTATGAATTAAATTTCCTGAATTTGTGACTAGGTGGAAGAGGTATTGCAGAACCGCCCAGCTGCCATTTCCATATAGGATGGGCCTTGTGAGGAGGTTGGGAATCCTTAGTGGTGTTTAAGGAATACGCCGGCCACAAATCCCCATCCTTCCCAATAATGAGTGATGGTGGACAAGGAAAATTTGCCATGAAATTAAATGGCCTTTTCACTGCTGATGCTACATTGCTGGCTACCTTTTTGCGTCTATTTATAACTGTAAAATCATCCAGTGTTCCTTCATGTGTCTCAGTTTTACCTGTAGGACGAGGGCTTCTAGCTGATTTCAAATTTGGTTTGACTGGAGGTGTCTGAAGTACAGGTCGCTTTCCCAGTACTAGTGTCCGGTAATTTTTTCTCACCTTGGCACCAAATTTATATTCCCCATCCTCAGGTTTTGGAGAACCTAAAGTGCATGAAAGGCCCTGACTCTGCGCCAGATGATTTAAGGAAGGAGTTTCTTTTTCAGGGCATGCAAAACCTTCCTTGGCTGTGGTTAGCAAGGTGTCCTCCTCCTTACTTTCAGTCACACTGTAAAACTCACCCTTGGTATCATTGCACTCGCACTTTAGCTTATTTGTAATAAGGTCAGGTTCATATTCTTCATTAGCACTACTATCTTCTACTTTGATTTTAATGTTGTGCAGCAATGGCAACGTCTTGTCGCTTGTGTCAGTGCACGGATTTTCGGCTTTAGTTACTACTGCGTCCACCTCCGGATACGTTTGCAAAGAGGGCAAGTCCGCAGCAAATTCCGCACAATGAAGGATTTTGGAATCTTCTGAGTTTGCTGCTGCTCCAGTAGAATCATTCTTTAAGAACCTAGCAGCTATTGTGTTGTTATCTGCACAGTGTGTAGTAGGAGTTGCTTGGAGGCATTTCCTCGCCTCTCCGAGTATTCTTTGTTGTGGAAATGCATTGTTTGTCTTTGGGCTAGGTGAAGAGGCTCCCTCCGCCAGGCAGTTAATTGTCAGGTCAGTTCTCTTTACAGAACTGGAAATTTCCGAGTGTGGGAATGTAATCTCAGATACACTATCCTTCCTTATCTCTGCGAAACAACTCCCCAGGCTGGCCGGGCAGTACACTGGAGACGCTTGAGAGACCCAGTGCGGCAGATTCCACTCCTCTGGCGACTCTGCTTTGACACTGCTCTTGAGGTCGGGGAGGCGACCGGCATCCTCGAAAGCAGGGGGTTTGGTTGCGACGGCTGCGGACGCCAGATGGTATAAGAAGTTGGCCTGCGCTTGCACACTGGGAGGCTTGCAGAAGCTGGTGCGCCTGAAACGGATGCTCTGCATGGACACTTGGCTAGAGCCGGAGCTGGAATCCGACTCCGAGGACGAGTCCTCCTCCTCCGAGCTGACTTCACTGGAGTCCGAGGCCCCGCTGCCCCCCTCCTCCTCTTCCTCCTCCTCTCCCTCTTCCTCCTCCTCTTCCTCCGAGGACACGGAGTTGCTGGAACTGGACAAACTGGAGCCAAAATCCGAGTCGTTGGCATGGTCCGAGTAGGAGCTAGACTCAGAGTCGCTGCTACAACTCTCGGGAAAGCTGCCCAGAGGGGGCTGCAGTCGTGGCTGGGGAGGGGGCGGGCGGCTCTGCGGCGGCTGCTGGGAAGCCCGGTGATGGTGGTGGTGGTGGTGGTGATGGTGGTGGTGGTGGTGGTGGTGGGGAGGTGGGCAGAAGCCGTTGACCAGATGAAACCTCTCCAGGCAAGTGGCTCCGGCCACCGCCGCCGCCTTGGCTTTGTAGGACCTGGGCAGCAGCAGCAGGCGCCGGGCGCCGGCGTGGGGCGAGAGCAGGCAGTCCTTGGCGCCCCCGCGTTTGCGCTTGCAACGGTAGGTCAGACTCCCGGGACCCCCGGCGCCCGACGCTATCTTGGGCTGAGGCCCGGTAGCAGATGCCTGGTAGTAGGCGGCGGCGGCGGCGGCGGCAGCGGCGGCGGCGGCGGCCGGGTGCTTGCTGCACAGCAGGTTCCGAAAGTACGCGGGGTCCGAGTGGAAAGCGACGTAGTTCCCCTGAAGCGGGGCAGTTTCATAGTTTAGAGAGGGTTTGCAAGGAGAGCGCCCTATTTCCGGGTAGTGCGTGCCCGGGTATTTGCTAAAAATCTGAGGTAGTTGGGCGGCGGGGCGCGCGGCGGCGGCGGCACCCGGGCGCTGGGACTGCGCGCTGATTGGTAGGGGTCGCGCGGCTTCGTTCAGGCCCCGCCAAAGTTGGGGCTTGTCCTTCCAAAAAGCCGGGCGGGGGCTGGTGGCGGCAGCGGCGCGCTCTGGCGGCGGCGGGGCGGTTAGGGCCCGGCCGGCCCTCCGGCGCTTGGTCCTGAGCACGCGCTCGGTCTTGCAAGAGGTGTAGAGCGCCTCCACGTCTTCCCGGGAGATGAGAGTGCATTTGGCGGCGTGGAAGGCGATGCTGTTGATCGCCTTGAGTTTCCGCAACTCCTCGAGGTCGCAGTGGTGCTTTTTCACTTTCAGATGGTCCATGCGCTTGTGTACGGTCGTCCGCGGGATGTTTTTCAGCAGATCCGTGAAGACTTGGGAGAGGGCAAACATTTGCTTGCCTTTAATGATGAGGTAGCCGAGCCTCACGCCATCCACCTCTTCAAAACCTGACTTCAGGTCTCCCATCTCGGGCACTAAATGATCCCCACCATTTGCAGTAAATCTATACGTGACGCGTACATACACATGTATGTATGTTAATCCTCCGCCAGATGCTGCATGTGTCTCAAGGCATCCTGCTAATAAAATAACAAAGACTGTTATTCCCGGCCAAGGGAATGCCAAACTCTAGGCAAAATTATAGAGGGAGGGGGGAGAAAAAAAACAAAAAAGTCCATGAAATTACACTGACTCGATTCTTGCTTTTTTTTTTTTTTTTTTTTTTGGTTTTCTTTTTTTTTAAAAAAAAAAAGAGGGAAAAAACCATCCGGCTTCTGATCTGCCAGTGTGTTGGTCTAAGTCCCGATGCAGATCAGTACCTGGGCCCCTCTAGTCCTTCCTTCTCCATTGGAGTACTATGATAATGGAATGTGAAGGGAGAAAGAGAAAAGAAATGCAGCTGCTATTCCCGCCGCTGCTTTAGCTACAAATAAAATGACAGAGTGAAGTGAGCTCGTCCGGAGACACCTTCATCAATTAATTCCCCTAAAGCCAGCGCTGATTGGACACTCCTGACAGGTGATGCAATAAAAATTGATATTCCACCCCTTCCCCCCAAAATCTCCCACTAATTAGCATACCCTTATACTGCCACCTCCCCTCCCAAAGTAAATAATACAGTCGGTATATAAATCTTTCCATTAAACTATCGGAGCTCAGAAGCAGCTCGACTCACAGACTTCATCAGAAGCAGTGTGTGTACGCTTAAAAAAAAAAAAAACAAAACCGTATATTTGCCTTTAAAGGAATATTGTCTTTTTTTTTTTTTTTCTTTATTTGCATTTTACCCATACAGCTATTATCATTTCAAAGGAAAGGGACTTTTAAAACATTACCAAGCCTAAGTAGATATTCCTTCACCCCATTTTTCCCTTTGGAGAAAATGGAGCTTAAGCGAAAATGTGCAGAACAGCTAAATGTGCAGAAGAGCTTGGTATTTCCCTGTGGGAGCAGGGGAAACCGGCTGGGAGCTCCAAAGTTAACACTCGCGCGGTGAACCACCCAAACACAGACTTACGTTTTGCATTTCTCTCGATTTTCCTTTTTCTCTGATATGCCTTTTTACAAACAGACACAAGTTATTTGGCCAAGGAAGCTGTTCAGGGCTACAGCTCCGAAACACTGTAACAATTCAACTGGATTTTGGTTCTCTGCTATGGGGGGCAGGAAGTAGTTTCACGTCAGACTCATAACAAAGCATAGATAAGCCAGAAATGGGTACACTTTTCACCATTAACCGGGCTGGAGAGCAGGCAGAACCGTCCTAGATTCCCCAGCACAGCCTTTGCCAGGGTCCTATTCTCCACAGGTCAGAATTCCAGGGAGCAGATTGCTTCTGCAGGCAGCAAAGGAAAGAAAATGTAAAACACCCTAGGTGCTTCCAGAGGTTTTACGTAATAACGATGGGGGAAAAAGTGCTCATGTAAGATGCACTCTTTCAGTGGTCCAGGATGCATTTAGTTGGTAGTTTAAATGAATCTTCCACAATTCCCTCCTCCTTTTTTTTTCCTCCCATGAAAGCCAAGTACCTGCTTAAAAAAAAAAAAAAAACCCACTTGGGATGAATATCAATATGGTTTAACCTCTTCTTAATCAAATGAAGGTATATTTTGGTGCCACTTCCAAGGGTATCCAAAATATTGCTAAATAAGAGCAAGGGTCTTCCCAGTTGCATTACTAGGGTCCCAAAGCGCTTTGTTGGCTTCTTTACAAAATTCGGCAAAATCTTCTCAACTGTCCGATGTTTGCAACTGCAAAATCAGTGCAACCCACGCATTTATATATTTTCTCGTTCTTTCAAAAACAGATACATCCGTGTGGCTAGAAGAATAAACGGATATTTCTGAGGCTACAAGAAAAAAATTGTACAATAATTTCTTCCTTCTAATTCAAAAGTTTCAGCTTCTCTTGCTCTGGCTGGCTAGCAAGAGCAGGTAGGGTTTAAAAACCAAAAAGCTAAAAAAAAAAAAAAAAATTAGACACACAGAAAAGTCAGTTTGCTTGATAAAATGAAATCTCGGCCATAGCTCCCCACCCCCACCCCATTCCTCTTGTAATTTCCCAGGAATTCTGAAGAGAATTTGGAATTTCAAGAAGTGTATCCGGAAATTAAGGAAGTCTATTTAAGCGAGTCTGTAACTCAGAGGCTGGGATTTGAAAAGTCAGCCCTGGACTACTGTTGCACTCAGCACAGATGTAATCGCCGCTCTTCAACTTAATCAATGTGTGTACAAACCGCGATGTCTAGTTCTTGCCTTTGAAATCTAAGGCTAGCATTTCCATCCAAGAAATCAGAGCTACAGCAAATTACATTTTTGTCCCTTGAATGAGAGAAGGATCATTGAATGGATCTCGTGATATTTCAGGCTTTAAACGTAACCGAGAGGCAGCAATGAACAATGCCTCGTCACAGCTAATACCATCCAGAGTTGGCTTTCTCTTGCATCTGGATCTATCACCCCGCGCTTTTCTCTTTCACTTTCACAGGAAGCAAAATGCAAAACCTTTAAGTAGAAAGCAAAGTTTCGAGGAAAAGCAGATGCTGGTGTTTGTTTTTTTTTTAAGTAGAATGACCTAAGCCTGTCTATTGCCAGCGACAATAATGTTTTAAAATTCCTCCTGATGCACTTATATACTGCCAGCCCTCCTTCTTCCCACCCCTCGCTCCCGCCCAATTCCCCTCCCCCAGCTGTAAGATTTAGACCAGAGTCAAACAGCCAAGAAATAGTAAACTCAGAAAAAACCCTTAGAGAAGACGGTACAAAAGGTTGAGTACAGCGTTGTTTCTTTTTTTAACTAGGTAGTTTCAATTCTTGATTCCTATTTAAATTTACACACATAAACTCACACCCCTACTCCTCCCACACATGGCAATGTGATTTAGTAACCATTTCACAAATTACCTAATTACCTTCATTTTCTCTTTTTTCCTCTTTCCCCACCTTTAAAAATACTTCAAATACTCATATTGGTATTAAAAAACAACAACTAGTACAATATTACATCTTTTTTTAAAAAAACTAAAGATACAGTCTATTGGGTCAAATAGAGAAAAACAAAGACCAAGAGATTTAGGAAATGTGTCTGTATATGTTATATATGTCAGTATCCCTGTATTTGCATTCAGACTTCTTTACACTTAAACGTTTTTTAATACTTCTATTATACATCCTTCTTGTCTAATACATTCTTTTGTTCCTTTAACTTCCTATTGGTGTGTGTGTGTGTATGTGAAGGTGCACTCTTGCAAGTCCATGTGCACACACACATAATATGACAGACAGCTTTCTTGTGGCCATCAACACACATTGCATATCCGGGGTCTTCTCCAGGCACATTGGGGGTCGATCCCGATAAAAAGATCTAGGAGAGGCCCCTGAGCGCTCACACATGAAAGGCAGGGGACTTTAAGATGGATTTGCATGCACACAGGGGATTTCGATCAATAGCTACCAACATTTATGGCTTAGATTATTAATGGGAAAGCTAGCCAAAGAGTGGAGATGAAAAATTAAAGGTGTCTGTTATCAATTATGCTTAAAGTTATGCAATAATTTACTTACTCTGCCTGGATGTGCAGGTCCAGATGTAAAAAGTACTATTCCTCAAAAGCCAAGGGCTATCTTTGAAAATTTTGTTGACCATGTCCTCTACTTCTATAACCAAAGATGAACCCAATTCAGATGATAAAATGTATTCAAATTCTTTCTTAAGGTAAAACAAAACAACCCACAACTATTAACTTCTATATTTCTTTTAAATATATATTCATGTGTAAAGGGATGTGTCCAAAATAACATTTGTGTGTATACCAGTCGCTGCTAGGCCCAGGAAATCACTCATTGTGAATTTAGGCACATATATATACACTGAGTTTGTTCATTTAATGTGATTATTTACTCCGTGAGGAATATATAATCTACATACCATAGTAAAAAGTATTTGAGCTTTGAAATAAAGCTAATTGCTAAGGAAAATCCCATCTAGCAAGCACAAATAGAATATATTCTTAATGTCCACTTCTGCATTTATGTAAAAAATCATCACTTTTAGTTTTTAAAGGGACAGGCTGTGAAGAAATGAACATATTTGTCTTCATTTATCCCATATGAATGTGCTAAATTTACCTTTAGATGTTCTATTTTGATTTATTTTCACTGTATTTTATGTCTAAATACCATTGCAATTCAGTCTGACCTCTTCCCTCTGGAGCGAAGTAATGCACATGGCATTTACAGTCTTTTAAATGGTTAGCTGGGAAATGCAATAGCAATTTGCAGGAGTAGTTTACTAATGGGAAAAGTTCTTTTGAAAACCTGAAGGAAAACCTAAGAGTACTTTTGCATTTCTACCCTACAACTGTCATATAATTAAAGTATTGAAGAGCATTAAAATAATCCTCTTGCTTCCAAGCTTTCACCCATACATACATAATTTAACTGAGGATCATTCCCCCACCCCAGCACCACCTAACTCTTCACTATATACATTTGTTTTAGTGACTGCTGAGCACATTTTCTTCAAAATGAATTAAAACAGAAAAGAATAAGAAACATCACAAAGGTCTCAACAATGTAAGTATATTGGCTAAAAGAATGAAAGACGCTCCTTGTACTGCTAACCAAAAGTATCTATAATACTGGCAGTATAACACAAATCTAAAATAATAATAATTTAAGAGGTGTTGTATGGCTGAATCTTTCTTAAATCCTGAGTTAAGGATACTGGACAATAAAATCCTGTCTAATGGTCAAAAGTTCCTTCTCTGCTTTTTTGGAGGGAAAAATGGGAATGAAAGAAGAAATGGATAAATTTAATGAATAAATTATAAATCAACGTATTTTCTCTAATTTTTTCTTTTTGTTTCATCCAAATAAATCAGGGTACATCTCCAAAAGGGGCCATCCTTCTCTTCTTAGGCTTTTAAAAATCCTGTTTTTAACAGCAGTTTGGGACACAGAGTATAT